AATGCATTTGATTTATGGGTATTAATTTTATATCCTGCTACTTTGCTGAATTCATTTATTAATTCTAGAATTTTTCTGGTGGAACTTTTTGGATCCTCTAAGTATAGAATCATATCATCTACAAATAGTGATTGTTTGAGTTCTTCTTTTCCTGTTCATATCTCTTTAATTTCTTTCATCTTTATCTGCCTTTGATGTTAGGGCTCAGTTCCTATTCCAGCTTTAGTTTTAGTATGCTCTATACCAAAAAGGAAATTAGCATATATTAAGCATTATAATTTTTCCAAGTATTTTTTACATCTGCTATGTATCTCTAAGTAGCAACCAACTTTTGCTACCTAATTGTTTTCTATACACATTAATAATAATCCTTAGTGTCTAACATTTCAGAAAAGAATTTTTTCAGTTGCTTCAAAAAAAAAAACTTTTTCGAAACTTTTAGTTTTACTCACAGAAAACAGATTCTAAAGAATAAAATGGACCCCCCCCAAAAAAATGCCTATTAAAAATCTAGTCTGCTATTTTCTAAGAAATAATGATTTTAAAAATTCTAATTATTTATACACAGTACTGAGAATTGAACCCAGTGCCTTACACATGAGAAGCAAGCATTCTACCACTGAACCACAACCCTAGACCTGAATAAAAATTTTTGAAGCACCTTTAACTTTTAGAAGCGAAAGCAATAGCTACGGAAAGATAACTCAAATCATTTACTGAAATTTGCTCTTTTTTTTTTTTTTTTGGTACTGGGGATTTAAACCCAGGGGCACCTAACCATTGAGCTACATCTTCAGCCTTCTTTTTAAAAATATTTTTTATAGAGGGAGTACTTCCAAATTCATTCTATGAGTCCAATATCATCCTGATTCCAAAATAGAAAACTTCAGACTAATATCTCTAATGAATATAGAAAATCCTCAATAAAATTCTGGCAAATTGAATACAAAAACAATATCAAAAAGATTGTGCACCATGATCAAGTAGGATTTATCTCAGGGATGCAAGGTTGGGACAACATACGGAAATCAATAAATGTAATTCTTCACATCAATAGACTTAAAGATAAGAACCATATGATCATCTCGATAGACACAGAAAAAGCACTTGACAAAATACAGTATACCCCTTTATGTTCAAAACACTACAAAAACTAGGGATAACAGGAACTTATCTCAGCATTGTAAAGGCTATCTATGCTAAGCCTCAGGCCAACATCATTCTAAAAGGAGAAAAACTGAAGGAATTCCCTCTAAAATCTGGAACAAGATAGGGATGACCTCCCTCACCACTTCTATAGTTCTTGAAACACTGGCCAGAGCAATTAGACAGACAAAAGAAATTAAAGGAATAACTATAGGAAAGGAAGAACTTAAACTAGCACTATTTGCTGACGATATGATTCTATACCTAGAAGACCCAAAAAACTCCAACAGGAAACTTCTAGAACTAGTAAATGAATCCAGCAAAGTGGCAAGATATAAAATCAAAACCCATAAATCAAAGGCATTTCTGTATATCAGACAAATCCTTTGAAAAGGAAATGAGGAAAACTACCCCATTCACAGTAATCTCAAAAAATAAAATACTTGGGAATCAATTTAACAAAAGAAGTGAAAGATCTATACAATGAAAACTACAAAACCCTAAAGAGATAAATAGAAGAAGCCCTTAGAAAATGGAAAGATCTACCTTGCTCATGGATAGACAGAATTAATATTATTAAAATGACCATACTACCAAAAGCATTATACAGATTCAATGCAGTTCCAATCAAAATCCCAATGGCATTCCTCATAGAAATAGAAAAAGCAATCATGAAATTCATCTGGAAAAATAAGAGTCCCAGAATAGCTAAGCAATTCTAAGCAGGAAGAGTGAAACAGGTGGTATTGCTATACCAGATCTTAAACTATACTACAGAGCAATAGTAACAAAAACAGCATGGTACTGGCACCAAATCAGGCTGGTAGACCAATGGTACAGAATAGAGGACACAGAGRCTAACCCACAAAATTACAACTATCTTATATTAGACAAAGGTTCCAAAAGCATGCACTGGAGAAAGGATAGCATCTTCAACACATGGTGCTGGGAAAACTGGAAATCCATACACAACAAAATGAAATTGAATTCCCTATCTCTCACCATGCACAAAAGTTAACTCAAAATGGATCAAGGATCTAGGAATTAAACCAGAGACTCTGTGTCTAGTAGAAGAAAAAGTAAGCCCTAATCTTTATCACGTGGGGCTAGGCCCCAACTTCCTTAGTAAGTCGCCTATAGCACAAGAATTAAACCAAGAATCCACAAATGGGATAGATTCAAACTAAAAAGTTTTTTCTCAGCAAAAGATATAATCTGTGAGGTGAACAGGGAGCACATCCTACGAACAAATTTTTACCCCTCACAATCAGATAGAGCACTAATCTCTAGGGTATATAAAGCACTCAAAAAACTTAACACCAAAAAAAACAAACAACYCAATCAATAAATGGACCAAGGACCTGAACAGACACTTCTCATAAAAGGATATACAATCCAATCAACAAATATAAGAAAAAATGCTCATCGTCTCTAGCAATCAGAGAAATGTAAATCAAAACTACTCTAAGATACCATCTCACTCCAGTAAGAATGGCAGCTATTATGAAGACAAACAACAAGTGTTGGCGAGGATGTGGGGATGTGAGGATATGCAGGTGGGACTGCAAATTAGTGCAGCCAATTTGGAAAGCAATATGGAGATTCCTTGGAAATCTGGAAATGGAACCACCATCTGACCCAGCTATTCCTCTTCTCGGACTATACCCAAAGGACCTAAAAACAGCATATTACAGGGACACAGCCACATCAATGTTTTTAGCAGCACAATTCACAATAGCTAAACTGTGGAGCTAACCTAGATGTCCTTCAGTGGATGAATGGATAAAAAAAGATGTGGCATTTATACACAATGGAATTTTCCTCAGCACTAGAAAAGAATAAGATCATGGCATTTGCAGGTAAATGGATGGCATTAGAGAAGATTATGCTAAGTGAAGTTAGCCAGTCCCAAAAAATCAAATGCCGAATGTTTTTTCTGATATAAGGGGGGTGATTCAAAGTGGGGTACGGAGGGAGAGCATGGGAGGAAGATTACCTCTAGATAGGGAAGAGGGGTGGGAGAGAAAAGGAGGGGGAAGAGGGGTGGGAGAAAAAGGGAGGGGAAAGGGGAATAGCAAGGATGGTGGAAGGTGATGGTCATCATTATACAAAATACATGTATGAAGATGTGAGTTTGGTGTCAACATACCTTATATACAAACAGAGATATGATAAATTGTGGTATAAAGGTRTACTAAGAATTGTAATGCAAAAAAAGAGAGAGAGAGTTCATGTATAATGGCATAATTTGGCATGAACATACTTTATATACAGAGTTATGAAAAATCATGCTGTGAATGGATAATTATGAATGTAATGCATTCCACTATTGTCATGTATGTAAGAAATAAATAAAAAATATTTTTTATTTAGAGGCAGGGTCTCACTAAGTTGCTGGCTTCAAATTTGCTATCCTCTTGCCTCGTCCTTCTTGGCTGCTAAGATTGCAGGCATGTGCCACTGTGCCTGGTGTAAATTCTTTTTAAAAACACAGCACTAGGGTTATAGCTCTTGCCAAGCATGCATAAGGCCCTGCACTCAATCCTCAATATCACCAAAAAATAATTTTAAGTACGTAAAGTATTATCAGAGGTTTCAAGACAAAATATTAACTTTTGAGAAACACAGTCTTAAGTGAAGAGGGGGCATAGTAGTGCAGATTGGCAAATAATTTATTTTCTAATTTATTTTCAGTTGTTTTTGGAAKGCCATTTGGTATAATGAAAAGGTCAGGGGCTTTGGAACCAAACTTTAGGCCTGAAACCCTGTTCCATTACTTACATGATTGCTATATGGCCTTAGGCAATCGTGTAACCTTCCCCAACCTACTGTTTTCTCTTCCTTAAATTGTGGATATTAATGTTCATCTTACAAAATTTTTAGTATTAAACTAGATATGTAAATATATATGAAGTACCTACCAAGTACTTGCAGTTAGTTTTYCTTCCCTCTGAAAATTACCTTTATTTATTTGTTTGTTTGTTTGTTTGTTTATTTGTTTATTTATTTTGGAGTTGCAGGGGATACTGGGAATTAAACCCACACTATATGAATTACATCCCCATCCCTTTTTATTTTGAGAAAGCATCTCMCTAAATTGTTTAGGGTGACCTCAGGCTTGCAATCCTCCAGCCTCTGCCTCCTAAGCAGCTGGGATTATAGGTGGCATACTGCTATTAATTACCTCTTAAGTATACCCTAATGCTAAAGTCCAGCAAAAACTCCAGGAAGGAATGGTTACTTTCCCATACTCAGATTTAGTTACTAGAAAATTCCCTTGAAACCCAGAAAAGTCTTCTTGGGAGTATGCAAGCCAAACAGCAAGCAGCCAGTTGAGAATGTAGTGGGCTGGAGTGAGCAGTAGTGAGAGAATAATTCTATGAGCCAYGAATTCAAGATTTGCCCTCATTCTGTGTGTAAAACTAAACTCATATCTCACTTAGTGAAGTTTTTAAAAAAAAGTCCTCTAAAACCCAGTAAAAGAAATTTTAAAGTATCTAGAGTTCTATGTTGAGGTTGTGATAGATTTTATTATATGTCCTAATTATAATAACATATAGTGCCYACTGTGCATGCACATGATACATTTCTAGGTTTCATATATTCTCTATGTAATATCTTTGATTTTTAACTGTTACTAAATGCCCAKTTTGATAGGTTAAGTAGGTAAACTGAGACCCTAAAAATTTTGATAACAAGCTCAAGTTTGCCAGTTAAAAGTGAGTAGGATGCTGATTGCTAAACCTTTGGAGAAATCCTTTGACARTCTCTCCAGTTGACTGTGGCACCTGTGAACTTCTGAACTGTTACAACTCTTGCAACCACATGGTGATAAATATTGTGTGTTCTTACAGAAACTAGCCCCTGGAGTCAGCCAGTTTGCCTACACCTGTGTGCAGGACCACCCCATTTGGACAAATCAGCAGTTTTGGGAGACAACTTTTTATAATGCAGTGCAAGAACAGGTTCGCTCCCTGTATCTCTCAGCAAAGGAAGACAATCATGCCTTATATCTGAAGCAAAAGGTAAGAGAAAAGAAGGGTACTTATATGAGGCTAGAATTCTGGTATTTAAGAATACTTACACAGACATTCCAAAACTAGTCATTTCCTACTACTGTATTTTGGGTTTACTTTAGATACCCTGTGGTATCTTCTTTTTTTGTTGATTTTGGCATATTTTTCCATAATAACTTCCCTGTAATCATCTTAATCATATTTTAATAAATAAGAATTATTTGGAAACAATTATAGGAAAGTGAAAAGAAAGAACAAACCTAAAGTATAACTCTATGCAACCAACTTGCTTTCTTGAAGAAATGTCAAATTAAATTTAATTTATTCTAGGCTTGTGGTCCAGTGGCAGAGTGCTTCCCTAGCATTTGCAAAGGTCCTGGGCTTGATCCCAAGCACCACAAAAGAAAGGGAGGAGGTGAGATGGCAGCAAAAAAGAAAATAGTTAATTTACTCTAAAATATATGTAAAATTAAATATGCCAGCAATAAATTTAGGTCTTCTGTTAGGAATATTTTGTATGTTTCTGTATGTCCCAATAGCATATAATTTTTTCAAGAACAAATTAAAAAATTGTTTTTAATTTGAAAAAGTAGTTTAAATAGTTTGAAATTTTAAAATTTATTAGCTGTCTGGTATCATACAAGTCATGTTACCTCTGTGTGCCTTATTTTCTCATTCATAAAATTAATAAATATGATTATTGTAAGATTTCAGTATTTAGTACTTGTTAAAACTCATTGAAGAGTACCTGGCACATAGTAAATAATAAGTGGTTTTATTTGTTTATTTGTGGTACTAGGGGTCAAATTTAGGACCTCATGCACATGCTAGTCAAACACTGTACCATTGAAGTACATCTCCAGCTCTAAAAAATAAGCATTAGAAGTTATCATCCTCATGAATTTGAACTTAAAGCAGCCTAAAAATTAACTAATTATCAATTTTGATTCACTTAAGAATAATTTTTAGTTCTACTTGCTGGGCAAGTACATCACTGCTGATCCTTTCCATCATTTTTCATTTTAAATTAGCTTTATACAATATAAAATAAATTTTTTTTTGGTATTTTAACAGACCCTACCAGTAGTATTCAAATATTTCTGTGCCTTTTATTATTTTAAATATAGTATTTGTCAATTATTTAATATAAGAACAAACAGCATTGACATCTGCCTGGTATGCCACATTGTTCTATAASGTACTATGCAAATATCAATCACTGTTGTTATCACTTACTCTTCAGCCAACTAGGAATACCCTCTTAAAAATCCTACTGTTAGGACTAGGATATAGCTGCAGTGCGTGCCTAGCATGCACAAGGCTTTGGGTTCAATCCTCAGCATGCATCACACACACAAAAAAAATCCTACTTTCACCTACCAACTCATGTGTATAATAATGTTTGACTCCCACAATTACCAGGAAATCTAGCTATATTTTTTGTGACCTTAGTTAATCTATCATCATCTCCCAAAGAGCAGAAGAAGAAACATAATCATACTATTAGCAAATGTTATTGGAAAAACTGTGAGTCAAGAATTTATTGTAACTAGTAGCTTAAAAGAAATCAAGCCATAGAGATAAATAAATACAATGAAATTTTAGCAATGAGAAATATCCATCTGTCTTTTGCTTCTGCTGCCTTAAGTCTGTTTCTGTGATTCTAAAGACTAGGTTTTGTTCTGTAGTAATTGTTATATTTTGTGTTTTCATTTCTGCTGCTATTGATATGTAATAGAAGATGTTTTCTTAATTTTTAGACAATCAATTTTTTGATTTTTAAATATTTTCTTGATATTTTTGTCAAAAATAATGAATGCTGATAAAATATATAGAAACATATAGAATATTCCTAAGAGAAGACCTAGATTTAAAATATCATTCTGGTTTTTAAAACTCATGTGAAGTGATGGATGTTCTTCTTTGGCTTGTGTTGCTCTGTTTTCTAGGATAAGCTTCCTGATGACCAACATCAGGAGAAGACCGCAATGGACCTAGCAGCCGAGCAGCTACGCCTTTGGCCAACTCTGAGCAAATCAACTCAGCAGGAGCTAGTGCAACATGAGGAGAGCACTGTCTTTAGTCAGGCCATTCACTTTGCAAACCTCATGGTCAACTTGTTAGTTCCACTGGACACAAGTAAAAACAAGCTCCTKCGAGCATCAGCGCCTGGCGACTGGGAGAGTGGGAGCAACAGTATTGTCACAAACAGGTACTGGAAAGTAAAAACACAGAGACCCTCCTTCTGTTTTTTTGGGGGGGGCTAAGTCTTGGCTTAGCAGAAAGTATAAAGTATTTTGGACAAATATTATTGTTACTATTTCAAAAATTAACCATTTTCCCCCATCTTCAGCTCAGCTTTTCTCTACTGAAATACCTTTACTTCATTCTACTATTCTTAACCTTCTCCCACATACTCTTCTCATCCATGATCCAATTTTCCTAAAGTTTTACCCACTACTGATCCAGCCCTTCAGTTAAATTCTGCTAAAGCAATTTATAGAAAGCATCCTGAAAAATTACTAGTAGCTCTTGCTTACCAAAGTGATTATTGGCTTCTCAGTCCTCCTTTACCTCAGCTTATCTGTGGAATATACCTAATCGTGTGCTCCACCATTCCTTCCTCTCTACTCTCCAGTGACTTCCCATACCACTGAGAATAAAACCCAAAGTCTTTATCATGGCCTGCAGGACCTAACAGKACCCTGATTATAGATTTGACCTTCTTTCCTATCATTCTTCTGTCAACCAGCCTGTTAATACTTGGTTTACCTACTCATACTAGTCCCAAATGCTCCAAGCATAGTACTACCTTAGGGCCTTTGTACTTTTTATTTCCTCATACTTTCTCTGAAATAGCTACAAGAATCACACTCTTATTTAGGTATTAGATCAAATGTCATCTACCAAGAGACTCTCCTGACTTCCCTATCTCAAGTATCACCTCTAACATTCCATCTCCACCTTGCTTTAATTATTCTTTCATGATATTTTCTACAACCTGATTTATTTTCTTGTATTTTCTTATTGCCTATCTCTTGTCTRTTATGTTCAATGCTATATCTCAGCTTCTTTGCAATATAGTAAATACTCATTAATATTTTGTTGAGCAGATGATTAAATGAATGAATAAGTGAACGAATCAACTAAGCAGTGGTAAAATTCTACCCTTTTTTGATCTTCATTGCTAGATGTTGCAACATCCTGGTGGTTCTTCTAGCTCTCCTAAATTCCTCTTCTCAGGCTCTTTCAGGCAGTTCCTCTTCTCTTTCCATTCTCAATCCTGCCATTGCTTTCACATTCTGTTGGAAAGCTCACTCACAGACCTAACTCTTTGGCCCTGAATTCTGAATCTTCCTATCCAGATAATTTTTTTTTTCTTCAAAAACATTTCAGAGGGCTGTGGTTGTGGCTCAGTGCTCATCTAGCACACATAAGGCTCTAGGTTCAATGCTCAGCACCACATAAAAATAAAATAAAAGTATTGTGTCCACCTACAACTAAAATATATATATTTAAACACACACACACACACACACACACACACACACACTTCAGAATTTCTGCTCTCCCAGGCTAGCCAGTGTGGATCCAGAATTTACATATACAGTCATCTGCTCAGACCTCTTATTTCATCCTGTAAGGTTCTAGTTCATCCTTTGGTTATTTTATGTGAACAACCTAGCTTAGGCCTTATTACTTCAATTATTATAATTATTATAATAGTCTCTTAGTTGTTTCATTTTTTTCCTTCTTCTCCTTTAGTATTTATCTCATTGTTTCATTCCTCTCTTTCTGTAATTACTACCACAAGAATCTTCCTGAAATGATGCTTCCACATTCCTTTATTGTTCATAATCTCACAGATTATTTTATCAATTCCGGACTCACCTGCTTGATTTTTAAGATCTTCCTTAGTGTGTACCAGCTTTATCTCTCAGTGCTATTCAAGTTGATCTCCACTATGACTGTCAATAACTGTATTTTCCTTTTTCTTTGAAGATGTCATTAGATGATCATGATCTTTCAAAGTCTGCATAGTGAGTAGCTAAGGCATCTAAGTTCTTTAATGGCTTGGGATAATGTGATGGCCATAGTCTCTGCTAAGCTTTACTTTAATAGTTTTCAACTGATGTGGTTGGTTTTGGAAGAAAGAAGTGAGTAGGTTAGAACAGACAAATGAGTCTTTTCTGTGATTAATAGTCAATTTGTTGAATAATTGGAGATGAACTAATTAACAAGGTCATGGATTGAGCTTTCATATCTGCTTCATTTCAAGTTTGTTCCCCTTTCTTGCATGATTTTTTTACATACAGAAGAATAGTGGTTTCAGAGTGGCCCAGCGGGTTGTGACTCACTCAGAGAAGTGCCAGCAAAAGAAAGGGTCATAGGATAGTTTGGTTATTCCTTATGAAAAAATATGCAAGTTGCTAAAAGAAGTTCTTTTACTCATCCTTCTAGGGTACATGTTCCCCAGTTGCCAAAGATAGCCACATTACTTTGTCTGGTTCTGTGTAGTAATTAACTTAAGAGAACAAGTTATTTTGGAAGATTCAGGCAATAGATAGTAACTCAGACAGTTCTCTGTTAATTTTTTTTGTGGTTCCTGAGTTCCTTTTCTAGAGAGTCACAGAAGGTATTCCCTACAGAAACAAATCTGGGTCCAAAGGATAATGCTAGACAGTAGTTTCCAAAGGTAGGCAAGTAGAACATCATGTTTTACTACTGTCTTTTATATAGAAGTCATGGAGTTGAGTGAACCCCTTCCTACTTCTAGCAAGTTTCAGTTGCTCTGTAAATCAACTTATATAGTTGTCATTTGTTGCATTTGCGTACTGACCATGACTTCTGCCTTTCATTTTCCTAGTATTGCAGGAAGTGTAGCTGAGAGCTATGATACAGAGAGTGGGTTTGAAGATTCGGAGAACAATGATATTGCCAACTCTGTTGTGCGGTTCATTACTCGATTTATTGACAAGGTTTGTACAGAAAGTGGAGTTACTCAGGATCACATCAAGAGCCTTCATTGCATGATACCAGGTAATCACTTTGCAAATATTAAAAATTAAGAATATTGGAGATAATTGAATTCAGGATATTACCTGTAATACCTGTCTACAAGTAATTTGGCCATGTTACTTATTTTCTGGTTTTTAATATCTTTAAATTGTAATAACATATATATGAAACGTAAAATTTGCAATCTTAACCATTTTTTAAATTTTTTTTAGTTGTAGATGAACACAATGCCTTTATTTTGTTTATTTATTTTTATGTGGTGCTGAGGATTGAATCCAGTGCCTCACACATGCTAGGCAAATGCTCTACTGCTGAGCCATAGCCCCAGCCTCTTAACCATTTTTAACTATATAATCCAGTGGCATTAATTGTGTTCACAATGTTGTGAAACCATCACCACTATTTCCAAACCTTTTTCATTACCCCAAGTAGACACGACAATAAACAACAACTTTCTGTTTCCCCACCCCCCAGTCCTCCATAATGTCTAATTTACTTTCTATCTCCATGAATTTGTCAGTTCTAGGTATCTTCTATAAGTGGAATCATACAATATTTCAACCTTTGTGTCTGGCTTATTTCATTTATTTAATGAATTTTGTTCATTTAACATTTTCAAGATTTGTGCATATATCAGAACTTCCATCCCCTTTTAATGGCTACATGATATTCTGTTTATGAATTTGCCAAATTTGTTTACCCATGAATATTCACATACAAGTATAGATACTTGTTTTCAATTCTTTGGAGTATCCACTTTAGAATAGAATTGCAGGGTCACATGGTAGTTCTGTTTAACTTTTGAGGAACCACCAAACTTTTATTAGTTTTAAATTTGAAAATAGCTTTGATTGGTCTTTATTCCACTTGTGCGCTCTTTCATTTTGAATATTCTGACTCATCCTAGGAATTGTAGCTATGCATATTGAGACCCTGGAAGCAGTGCATCGGGAAAGTAGAAGACTTCCACCTATACAGAAGGTAATTATTCCAGACTACATGCCTTCAGAGTGTAGCATCTCTTCTCAAAATCTGCAACAATAGTTGTGTTCCATAAATTACCTTCTCCAAACCTGTTACAAATGCAATTCTGATGATACATTAACTCTCAGAGGAGTTTGTCATGTAGAACCTTATAAAAAGGATAAAGTAGGAATAGTATCCTTTCTTGGATTCAACAAAAGAACACTAGTAACCTCTTTTGAATCTTTATAAAGGCACAGAATTATGAATAATCCTAACTTCCAAACCCAACCCAAGATTTTATGCCCTGCCTACTTCTCCCCTACCCGCCTCCCTCCAAAAAAAAGAATTTAAGCAGTTATCATAAAAGCATTCAGTTCCCAAGTCTGGCTGTACATCACAAGCAGCTTGGAAGTCTATTAAAAATTCAGAGTCCTGAACTCAACTCAGCCTCCAGGAATCAGAGTACCCTGGGACATGGCCTGGAAATCAGTATTTTAACAAGCTTCCCAGATGATTATTTTGCAGTTAGCTTGATACTAGTCTGAGGACTAGGGTTCAGGACCCTCTTGCCTATGAAACAGAACTATTAAAAATAAATTCAGAGAGAGACCAGAAGACAGATAGGAAAAATAATTGTATCAGAAAATTCAGACACAATACTCATTAATAGTTACATTTACATTTATATTTAGCTTTAAGCCTCCTAGAGCCAGCAAAATGCATAGTGTTGTTTTATATAGTTTTTATCACTTAGTAAAATATAAATGTATTAGACATTTAGGAGAGATTTCTTTTTTCTGTGTTCTGATCTCTTCAGAGGAATGGAACATGTAATTCCTCATAAAAAGGGTACTGAATCCAAATTTCTCAAGGTGTATAAATGTTTATTATTTGGCCAAGAATAGGTCTTTTTTAAAACATCCATGTGTGTGTGTGTGTGTGTGTGTGTGTGTATTCTTTTTAAGTTGTAGATGAACACAATAACTTTATTTTATGTGTTGCTGAGGACAGAACCCAGTTCCTCAAATGTKCGAGGCAAGTGCTCWACCACTAAGCCACAACCCCAGCCCCTAAAACATCCACTTTTTAAGTATTTGTTAAGTAATAATGTTCTTCGTATAAAATTTAAATGTGAAAGAAGCATACATTGTTCAAAGTGAAAGTCCCCCAGTCCTCCCTATCCTATTCCAACCTCCACCATTAACCATTAACTACCACCTTTAACAAGTTGGTTCATATTCTTATTCTTTTCTTTTCAAAAATGGGATTATAACATGCAACTGATTTATAGCTTGCTTTTCTTAGTGTTACAGGGACTAGGGATGTAAATCAGTTGGTTGAGTGCTTGCCTAGAACATGCATTATTCCCCAGCACTACAAAAACAAAAATAATGTATGTATTCTGGTCATCTTTATTTTAATACATAGAGATCTCTGTCATTTCTGTTAAGTAGAAAAATGATCCATTGAATGAATCTGTCAAACATGTGACTTATTTCCCAGTGATTTTACTGTGAACAAKCAATGCTGGAAAGACTTGACAATTGGATACAGAAACTTAACTTCTGCCTCTTCCCAAATCTGTTTTCTCATTTGGCTACCTAGGAAATCTGGTTCAAAGTTTTTAGGTCTGTACATAAAAAGATAACCTTGGTCTAAGTGTTAGAAAACCCTAAGATTTGTGTTTAAAATACTTTCAMTGTTTTTAGCCCAAGATTCTTAGACCTTCTCTACTGCCAGGAGAAGAAATTGTTTGTGAAGGTCTTAGAGTCCTGCTGGATCCTGATGGCAGAGAAGAAGCTACTGGAGGTCTTCTTGGAGGCCCTCAGCTCCTGCCAGCAGAAGGAGCCTTGTTCCTCACCACATACAGAATTCTCTTCAGAGGGACGCCCCATGACCAGCTAGGTATGACTCATACATTGTCAGATCATGTTTTTGTTCATTTGTGTGGTGTTAGGGATTGAATCCAGGGCTTTGCACATGTTAGGCAACACTCTACCACTGAGCTACATCCCCAGCCTGCTATCAGAACATGGACGTCTATGTGGCACAGTAGGTTTTCATTCTGTGCAGTGATTGCAGATCATTTCAAATCCAGAATAAGATTTTGGCCATACAGGTATTTTGGGAGGATGCTTTTGTCTGTCATAGTTAATGATAATTTAGGTAATAAATTTTTATTTGAAAAATAAAGGGTATCTTCTAACCATTAAATCAAGGGTTCATTTTCTGAGGCGATTATAATTGTATGGGGTGAGTATTATGACCTAGAAATATTTACAATATCTAGATTCTTAATGTGTACACTGCTGATTGGCCCCAGCTTTTTGACTCCTATGGTCAACAATAAAGCTGTGATTGTTTTTGTGGAAAGATGAGCTAAACAACATAGGATTGTCTGGTACTCTCTAATCCACTTTAGTCTTATCCCATTTCAGTTACTCTTGCTTTCCTCTTAGCAGAAAACTTCTCTTCTACTCACAAAACTCTCATAATGTCTATTTCTATTTTCTACTACCCTATATAGCCTTTTCTATTAGAAAGGAATAGGARGATCTCTCCATAATTAATCTACGTTATCTTCTTTAAAATCACTGTAGTCTCTACATAAAATTTCTTATTAATTGGAAAAATGCCTAAGGTTTAGGGCAAAACTTTTAAACTCAAAGTGAGAGAGCTCAGGTCTGGATTGCTTTTGACTAATCTTGATAGCTTAAGTCAGTGACCTAACCTCTCTTGACTTCTTTTCCTCTTTTATAAAATTAGGATATTGGGGGCTGGGGTGGTGGCTCAGTGGTAGAGCACTTGCCTGGCATGTGTGAGGCCCTGGGTTCAATCCTCAGCATTGCATATAAATAGATAGATAGATAGATAAATGTCCATTGACAACTAAAAATATATATGTTTAAAAAATTAGTGAATTGACTTTCGTTGATGATAATTTGGTGGTTCTCAACCTTAGCTGTTTATTTGAAGAAAAAAATTACCAATTTCTAAGACTGGGGATGTGCCAGTGTCTCGGCTGGCACTGAATCATGAGCCACCACACAGCTTTGTAGGTTCAAACAGCAATTCTTTATTCCCGAACTCACACCGGCCTCCAACAAACACGTTCTGGTGCAATCTCCAATATGCCGCCGCCCCCAAATCCTACTCCACGAGGCTTTTTCCAAATCCCACTTTAATCTCACAAGAACTCAACGGGAACAAGCAGCAGGAACACCCTAATCCCAGCAGCAATAATCTTCAACCTCCAACTTCCCTAAAACCCCTATTGTCTTAAACCGGGAAATGCCTTAAACTGGGAACCCCTAAACCCAAGGACCGGGATACTTCCTCAAACCTGCAGGATACTTCCTCAAACCTGGATCCACCCTTGATCACCTTGAGCAGGGTCATCTTACTAAAGCATACATGCAATGTCCCATCGAATGTCCTCTAAGCAGCATGGGGTACACTGGCAAGGAGATTTTGATGTGTCATTCCTACTTGGTAATGGCCCTCAGCAGGGATGTAGTACTTGCTCAACACGTGTGAAGCCCTGAGTTAAATCCCCAGCATCCCCCACCAAAAAAAATAAAATAAAATATATATATATATATATATATATATATATATTTGTAGGCCCAACCCTCCAACAATTAAAGAGTAGAAATGGAGAGATTGCAGGTATTCTGTTTTTGTTGTTCTTGTTGTTATTGTTTTGGGGTTTTTGTTTGTTTGTTTGTTTGTTTGTTTTGTGGTTCTAGAGATTGAACCATGGTCCTTTACCACTCAGCTATATTCCCATACCTTTTTATTTCTTTGATTTTGAGACAGAGTCTGGCTAAGTTGCTAAGGCCAGCCTAAAACTTCGAATTGTCCTGAATAGATGGGATTATAGGCATATGCCACCACCTGGAATATCTATGTATTTCTTAATGCTCACAAGTGATTGTGATAAATATTGAGGATTGAGAACCCTTTTGTGTTAAATGGCCACTAAAATTTCTTCTTTGTCTGAAATTATTCATTCAGTAGCATTTGATGAGCATGTACTACATATGTACTATGTATTTTGTTGCAATGAGATTCAGACATAAAAAACGTAGTCATTAAAATCTTAATCACCCCTTTAAAGGCTCTGCCTTTATATACAGTCACATTCTGAAGTACTCAGAGTGTCAGAAAATGAATTTTGGAAATACACAGTTCAGCCTCTAATTGTATTACTGATTTATCCAACAATACTATAAGAGAGAGTCATTCCTTATTTTACCTCTGAAATGTACCCTTCTTTAAATCTTTATAGTTGCATTATTCCTAAGCTGGATAGAATCAAGATAGTTTAATATATTGGTCATAAAAGATTATTTACCACATAATAAGCAAAAAGCTCATAAGGTTCAAAAAAGATAAGTCTATAGGAATAGTTGTGCTTATTTTGAAAAAGTGAAAAATAAAGCAAAATTTCTTAGCCCTGTTGGCATGTTGCTGTTCATAAATTACATTTAAATGCTGTTCATAAATTACATTTAAATGCAAACATTTTTTTAGATATTTTTACTAGTTGTTGATGGACTTTTATTTCATTAATTTATATATGGTGCTGAGAATTGAACCCAGTGCCTCATGCATTCTAGGCAAGCGCTCTACYACTGAGCCACAACCCCAGCCCTCAAACATATTTTTTAAAAGAAACTAAATATTGAGTACAGATTGCATATCCTATGTTTAACCTTTGAGTATAAGCTTCATATAAAAGGATAATCAGAGTTTTTCATTTTAAGGATTGACAGAYCCAGGAAATGAGAAATTCTGATGATGATAATAAGTTTATGCTTATAAACCCAGAAGTATGGCACACACCTATAATCCCAGTCACTGAGGAAACTGAGGCAGAAAGAGTGCAAGTTAAATACCCTATCGCAAAATTTAAAAAGGTCTGGGGATGCAGCTTAGTGGTAAAGTGTACCTAGGGTCAATGCCTAGCGGTGGGGGTTGGGGCCAGGGGCAGTGGAGGACATTCAGGTTTTTAAGTCAAATAAAYCTAGTTTAAATCTTATCCCTTCCTTCTTTCTATCTGTGAGACCTTATTAATTATTCAGTACTGTTCTTATAACGTTACCTATTCCTGTTCCACTGCTTATAATGCCCTCCTTCTTCCCCTCTACAAATCCAAATTCTACTCTCTATTCAAAGCTCACTTTCACTTCCACTTCTTACAAGAATCATTCTCTATTTATCTAGCATTCAAAAATCATCTCCTTTTCTGAAATATTTCAATCCTTGAATAGTCGATTCCCTCAAACCTAGGAGCTAATCACACATTATTATATTCTGCATGTGACTTTCCTCCTTTAGGGAAGTAGAAGCTGTTCAAAGAGAATTTGTGGGTGCTACTTCTTTTCTAGGCCCTCATCTTTATAACCTAATAGTTGATATTTTCCTATTCTTGCTATAATATTTAAACTCCTAAAACTCTTAGGCTTAAGTCTAATCTATCTTCCAAAGACATATATTCATAATATAGCAGCCTTTGCCACATATTGAAACTTTAAAACCTGTTCTATTTTACTTTATCCTTACAATAAATATCTTGGATGTCTTTTCAATAATTACAGATATTTAAAACTAACTGATCTTGTGTAACACATAGTACATGGGGGAGATAGAAAGAATGAGTGCAGGCAGGTTGTGAAGGTTTTCCTCATTCTGGGAAAGGTATATGTCTCAGGAGTGAATTACCATGCAATAAAATTTAGTGATATTCTCAAATCATGTCATTTTCTCTTACTGCATTTCTGTACATTGTGCTCTGCAGAGACTTTAGACATGAACTATAAAGTGCTATTGCTGAGTCTGTGTCCTATCATCCTACAGTTGGTGAACAAACAGTTGTACGGAGCTTTCCCATTGCCTCTATCACTAAGGAGAAGAAGATCACAATGCAGAACCAGCTACAGCAGAACATGCAAGAAGGACTACAGATTACATCAGCATCTTTTCAGGTATAGTTCATACTCCTTGTCTGAAATGCTTGGAACAAGATGTGTTTCAGATTCTGAAAGGTTTTAGATTTGAGGATATTGGCATGTCCTTTACCAATTGAGCATCCCTAATTCAAAAATRTAAAATCTAAATCATTCTGAAATTGAAAACTTTTTGAGCATTGAAGTTTCAAATTTTGGAGTGGTTCAATTTCTTATTTATGGTTTAGTTATGCTCAACCTATATTAAGAAAAGAAACCATTCTTCTAGTATTTAAAATTTTTTTCTGAGTGGGCATGTTGGCACATGCCTGAAATCCCAGCAGCTCAGGAGGCTGAAGCAGGAGAATAGCAAGTTCAAAGCCAGCTTTAGCAACTAAGCAAGGCCCTAAGCAACTTAGCAGACCCTGTCTCAAAATTTTAAAAAGGGCTATGGATGTGGTCAGTGGTTTAAATGCCCCTGGGCTCAATCCCTGGTACAAAATATATATATATATATCAACCTAGTGATATTGTAGCTACTTTCTGTGGTCGTGGAGTCAGAATGTCTGGGAAAGTAATCTTCAGATGACTAAACTCATGAATAGTTTCATCCTTCAATTCATGAGTCCCTGGCCAGCCTAGAGTATCAACAGATTATCAAATTTTAGTATTCTTTGAAACTCAGACACATGAGGGCTCTTTTTCTCTGACAAGTTATATCTCAATTCTTTAGATAAAAATCAATTCCTCTAGCATCTGTTTCAGAAAGAAATGCCCTATGACTGGCTCTTCTATGRAAGAGGTAAAACTCTTGAGAAGTATAACTTGGGCTAATGTACTGTTGGTACTAACTGTGTAATCCCTGATAAAGCAAGGGTTTTTTCCAGGGGACTCTGAACATACCAAAACATAGAACTACTGATACAAACCAATTCCTAGAAGAAGCAATCTTTTCTTAGTTTTTCTTTTTTTTTCAAAGTTCACAATCTATATATCTTTTGTTTTTCCTGTTCTTCCTGCCTTGTCTCTGACTACGCAGATTTCCAATGATTCCAATTCTTACCTCATTTCTTCTAGACAAGGAACCCTCCCCCGTACCCTCTATGCTCATCTCATGAACTGTGAAGCTGTTGATATTTAGACTCCAGACCTTCTTACATCGTCAAGAGTACTGACTATCCCAGCTGCCAAAGAACGCTATRCTCAAATAATTCCTGTCTATTCTGGTTAAGATTATAGTCAAACTGATTTTTCCCCTAGATTTGATGTATCCCTAGGTACAGAGGGACATTATTAGGTCAAATTCCCTATCTAGAACCAGCAGTTAAAARATAAAAAGGACATGCTTGCTCCTTCAGACATTACAAGTTTATTCCTCATCCCATGGTAGAAAAGATAGTCTTAAAGAAACCCAACTTCAAAAATCTGATTTTCCTTGCCAGTTAACCATACATGACAAGGTAACTTTTCTGGGCCTTTTTTCACTTTCAAAATTAAAAGCCTGTATTGTACATTATCAAGAGTTCCTACAATCTCCAAAGTCTTGCCATTTAGTTTTGTTATTTTTTTTCCTGTATGTTTTGTTTATTTTGTTTTAGTAATTTGGGGGGATAGTTGTCTGGAAATAGTGCTTCTGATATGTTTAATCTCTTTTGTCTCTAGTTGATTAAAGTAGCATTTGATGAAGAAGTCAGTCCGGAAGTAGTAGAGATCTTTAAGAAACAACTAATGAAGTTCCGTTATCCTCAGTCCATCTTTAGCACCTTTGCTTTTGCTGCTGGACAAACTACCCCACAAATAATTTTACCCAAACAGAAGGAAAAGAACACTTCCTTTCGGTAAGAAGAAAGACTGTTCTCTTAATTTCAACCCTCCATAATTGATTGTCAGAGGAAGTACTTTATGTCCAGGAGTAAAATGATTGTTCTTTTTAATTTCTGTCAAGATCATTGGGCCAAGCTCAAGAAACTATGGAACAGCAGCACTGATATGGGTAACAGGTTTGAAAATCTTAAAAACTATAAGAGGCTTTGACATCCATTGCTCATGATGCATTTTTATGACATGAAATTCTGTTTTCTCTTTTTTTCATATTAATCTTTAACTGCCTTTGAACAGCAGCCCTTACATMTTTTATTAATATCCAGATTGAGTGGACAGTTTTGTTTTTTGATCTAGAAACAGGAGTTTTTATTTTTCTTTTTTCTTTTTTTTTTTTGAAACTTTATTTTGAACAATTTCAAACTTACAAAAAATTGACAACAGTAGTTCAAAGAATTCTTTCACAGATTAACCAGTGATTTATATTTTTATTATATTCATTCTATGTGTGTGTGTGTGTGTGTGTGTGTGTGTGTGTTTGTACATTCATAAAATCACTTCAGGTGTAACTTAATGGGTGGTGGTAGTGGTAGTATGGGGGTTTTTGTGTTTTGTTTTGATACTGGGGATTGAATCCAGGGGTTCATTACCCAGTCCCTTTTTATTTTGAAACAGGGGTTTGCTAAATTTCTGAAACTGGCCTCAATCTTGTAATCCTCTTGCCTCAACCTCCTGAGTCACTGAGATTATAGGCATATACCACAGTGCCCAGCTTAAAGATATTTTTTGAAAAATTTTTCCCAGCTAGGGTGACAACCTTTTTATTTTTTCATACTAAAGGCAATTCTTAAAATTTTTAAATTGCTGTATCTTTCTTAYAGCTGATAAAACAGCTACATACGTATGATTCATACATATTATATATTATATACACACTCAATAGCTATGTATTTATAACACATTATATATAAATTTTTTAACCTCTATGTTAACATACAAAATGTCCTTTATCCTTGAACATCAATATACATTTTCTAAGAGAAAAAAATCATTATCTCAACCTAGATATAGTAAACAACCAAAAAATTTGTCCAGGTGCAGTGACGCATACCTTTAATCCCAGCAACTCAGGAGGCTGCAGCAGAAGGATCATAAATTTGGGGCCAGACTCAGCAACTTAGAGACCCTTCTTAAAATAAAAAATGAAAAGAGCTGGGGATGTAGCTCAAT